AAAAATACGGAACTGTAAAGATAAATTTTTTAAAAACAGTGAAACCATGTTAAAATAAGTTTCAAACTTTAAAGTAGTTTTTATTTTTTTGTCTGTTATAATATTTCAACGAAATATATTTTTCATCTGAAAATTGTGCAACTTTGAGTGTTTTGAAAGTGTTTTCTATTTTTCGTTGAATTGAAAAACAATAATTGAGCAATAATAATAATTAACATGATTTTTCATAAAATTAAATCTTTTGATAATAAAAATATCATATCGAAAAATATAATTTTTAGCATTTAACATTTTGCAATGCAACATTATTCACATGTATAGTGTCATTTATGTTTGATCTAACTTTGAATCAGTTTTGAATTATTAAAGCATAATTCACAGTGATTTCATCATAATATAAATCAGAATTCTATTAACTTTTGATCAATATATAAATTTTTTGGAGTGTACTCAGCGTCATGATAATTTTCGAATTCTATGAGGAAAAATACATCAGAAAATGTACAGATTTTTAAACGGAAACTTTTGTACTTTTCTTTGTGATAATTTGTTACACAAATAGCTTCCAACATGATATATTGGAATAATTGATAGATGCTATCTCCAATATATATCAGTCTTTGCTTGTTTTTTGTTATTCATGCGTTAACTACTATACAAACAAATCTTACACAATTTTGAAATTGTAATATTATTAAAGTATGTATTACATAGTTAGTGTCAATAAATGTATATGATTATTATCTAAGAAATGTATAAACAGATTTCAGACAAGGATATACATATATATATGTTGTAAAAACATTTTTATTACATTATTCAGATTAGCTTAATATTTTCAGTATGTTTTAAAAAAGTAGATAAATTTCATTAAATGTTTGCTTGCTTACGCCTATGACACTTACGTAAGTGATAGATGACGAGTAGGAATAAAGTGATCTTTTATAATTGTAAGTTTAGTATTCACATCAGATCAACATATCTTATATTTAAAACTATCTTAAATACAATCTTAAGATATCATAAGTCAATTCAGAGACGATCTTGAAATAAGAGCCGATTATAAATACCAATGTATGACTAAATTCAATAATGTGTATGTTGAAATAACTTGGTAGTGAATTTCTGATCATTTTACTGATCATTTTCGTGAATATTTATGAGTATTTACGAATAAGTATCCGATAAGATCTTCTATTGACTTAACAAGAAATTTAATAAAAAAGACCTTTGTCCTGTAGCTGCTTAATTATATATTGTAATAATTTCTATATATATAGATAATACATGTGTATCCGCGTATTACGTCTTTACTGATAGCTACGTCATACATATATTATTTAAACGCCATTATATATTCTACTTTATCGCATAGCGAGATTCGACGTTAGTCTTCAGCGAGCACGAGTCGCGTGTATAGATATTGATTAACATCGCGCTTCACGAATATTCAGTATCCATATTTTTCCGATTTTTCTTTTAAAAAGTCATATGCTAATTATGTATTCATCTACACTCCGTTCCGCTCTATACCGCACACAACAGAAACTGACTACAACATGCCAATTACATTTATATGAATCGCGTCTTCAACACTGCACAAGTCCACTGACACAGTTTACAGACGATGAACTTATGACGAAGGAAATGGTCGCTAAACTGGCCAAGCAGGAGATCGCTCCGCTCGTACGAAAGATGGAAAGGGAAGGAAAGATAGACGACAGCGTGTTTCAAAAGCTATTCAAGAACGGCCTGATGGGTATCCAAATCCCGACAGAATACGGTGGAACGGGAAGCAACTTTATGAGCACGATTGTAACCATTGAGGAAATCTCCAAAGTCGACGCGGCAGTATCCGGATGTGTCGATATTCATAACACTTTGGTAAATTCACTTATTCTTAAGGTTGGATCTGAAGAACAAAAGCAAAGATATCTACCTAGATTAGCCCGGGATTCCATAAGCAGTTTCTGTCTATCAGAATCTGGTTCGGGATCGGATGCTTTCTCTTTGAAAACTGAAGCAAAGAAAGATGGAGACGAATACGTGATCAACGGTACAAAAATGTGGATATCGAATTCGGACGTAGCGCAGATTTTCATAGTTTTCGCCAACGCGGATCCTGCCGCCGGTTATCGTGGCATCACGACCTTCCTTGTGGACCGTGATACACCAGGTCTGAAGGTGGGCAAGTGTGAGGACAAGATGGGTCTTAAAGCATCAGGCACTGCCATGGTACATTTCGACAACGTTAGGATACCCAAAGACAATCTATTGGGAAAGTTCGGACATGGATATAAGTACGCAGCTGGATTTCTGAACGAAGGTAGAATCGGTATTGGTGCGCAGATGATTGGCATAGCGCAAGGATGTTTAGACGCGACTATACCGTATACATTGGAAAGAAAACAATTTGGACAGGAAATTTTCTCCTTCCAAAGCCTGCAGCATCAAATAGCTCAGGCGGTAACGGAATTGGAATGCGCCAGATTGCTCGTTTACAACGCGGCGAGATTGGTGGAAACTAAAAAGGACATCATGAAGGAAGCGGCTATGGCGAAATTTTTCGCATCCGAAACCGCATGTCGTATCACTGCAAAGTGCATAGATTTTATGGGAGGTGTCGGCTTTACTACTGATTTTCCTCAAGAAAAATATTATAGAGATGTAAAAATTGGTACTATTTACGAGGGTACAAGCAATATGCAGTTATCGACGATTGCGAAATGTATTCGTAAGGAATATTCATAAATGATGATTAAAAAAATAGTTCGATTATTCCTAAAATTATGATTATTTCTTTACTTATGTATTTATTTCGAGGCCGATAATCGACACGTAGTTTGTGCAAATGAAAATTATAAAAATTATGCAGATCTACTTTGTTCAAATCAAATAATTTTCTTCATTTATTCATGTTTATAATATATCCATCGATTTTACTTATTAAAATTTATTAAACATATTACGTGTATTCTATGTTTTTTGAGAATTTTTTTATATAGCATGTGTATGTAATTAAAAACATTTTTATAGTTTTATATGCTATCTAAATTAGAAATAAACGTGTAACAGTGTAACAAATAAATCTTTTAAATATTTTTTATTAAATTGTTTAAATAATTTTTAATATTGTGTGTATATATGTATAACCTTATAAGAAAATAATTTTGTACAAGTGCGAATGGTTAAATTTAGGGATGTAGTTTTATATAAAATAATAAATTCAAAAGATAATATAAAATTTAAAAAATATAAAATATTAAAAATAACAATTAATTAATTAAAACACGATACTTTGTGAATATCGAGAAGAGCCAAAAATATGTCCAAGCAGAACAAAAAGACATTAAAATAGCTTAACAGTGCATAATATATTTATACTTTACGAATTTACTCTAGAAAATAAAGAAACTGACAAATAATAGAAGCAATCTTTTTAAATATATCCATTTTTTTATTCCACTCCTTATCATAAATATCCTATATACATATGATTATACCAATATTTATATGAGATATTTATCATGATATTCTATATTACATCAATATTTATTTATATTAATATCAATATTTTCTATATATATAAAATACAAACGCTATATTAGTTTATCAAAACTCTAAAACGATAAAATTCTAACAGATATTCTAAAGAAATAATATTCTGAATGTTCTAACATTTGAAATTAATACAATATTACTGAATGCATAAGAATACAATGATGAATTAATTATATTTTTATATGCAAACTTCTTATTATTTACATTTCTTTATGTTAATAAAGAAATATGTAAATAATAAATAGATGAATGAAATAATAAATAGATTATCCCAAATCCAATTTACATATTTTCTTTATATTAATAAATTAATATGTAAATAAAGAATACGTACATAATATGTATATAAAGGAATGTGTAAATTGGAGTTGGGATAATCTATTCATTATTTCATTTATAAAATATTTTGCAGTTTCAAATAGTTAAAAAACTAATTATCGTATTGCTATATTGCCCTGTCGATACAAAGTATATCTCACACAGGTATACAAAATGATATTAATCTTTTTGCTTTACTGAATATTAACAAGTATATTTGGGGAAATTATCTAGTAATAATAAAATTTCAATATTCTTAATAACTTTGATGTATTACTATCGCTACTAACGTCACTAACTTGTACTAATATTATATGAATGAAGTTCATCATACGTGACCATAACTGATTTTAAAAAAGTAAGAAGTTATTCAAGAATTTAGAATTATCGTTATTTTAAAAGTATGTATATTGAATTTCTACTTTATTAATAAATATTGTTATTTAAAAAAATTGATTAACAGGGATATATTATTGAATCGATTTTTCTTATGTTCTCGGATAAAATGCATTACGTAGCTGTGTCGTAAAGTACGCGATATTCGCTCGTCAATTTTGTAGATAAGAATTCTAGGATTAATTTTATGAGTAATTTAGTATTTATTATAAATTACAGAACGGATAATGAGAAAAATTATAAATCGTTAGATTGATTTGCATTATATACCATTAAACCAAGAAGTAACAAGGCCATTTTGCCTCGTGTACCTTATACGTGCGCGTATCCCGAGAGGCCGTGAATTAAGCTTCTTATTTTCGAGAAACGAGTCGTTATCGGGTGGAAATGATTAATCGAGATAATAGGCCCGTTCCGTCGGCACATTTTTCTAGAGGAACAACATCGAAAATTTTAAAGGAAAAGTTCAATTTTTATGTTTTTCCATAGGCTACGCTATCGACGTGAAAATACGTGAGCGTCGAAATTTCATCGTGGACGTAAGCCGGTAATCGCGGAAACATTTAATGAAGATGAAAATGTAACCGCATACACGTGGCTATGTGTTAATTTGCTTCGTGTATTTCTACTGATTTTAATTTTATAGAAATAACGCCGCAAAGTTGAAGTATGTTTACCGCTCCATCACTTTCCGCGAAACTAACGAGTCGACATATTGGGCAGGTCTCTCTCCGTGGTCCGTGCGCTGAATACTACAGCGCGTCGTTAGCGCCTTCATTTCAACAATCTGACTATTCTGCATTTTGTGGGATATTAAGGTATTCTGTGGGACGATTGTTTTTGAATATAAAACGTACTTTCAGAAGATGGAGGATAAAGTCAGTGGAAACACAGCTGTCGAGGCCGCCGAGAGCAATGCCGGAGTCACTAAAAAGGCTAGCAAGAGTAAGGTTAAGTCACAGCAGAAGAAAATATCGTCGCGGCCACCAACTTCTGAGATGGTGACAGCAGCTATCAAAGAGTTGAAAGATCGCAAAGGCTCATCCTTCCAGGCAATCAAGAAGTATATAGTGTCAACGTACAAGGTGGACGGCGAGAAAGTTGCTCCATTTATCAAGCGATATCTGAAATCCGCCGTTACTGCGGGTGCTGTTGTGCAAACCAAAGGTAAAGGCGCCACCGGCTCTTTCAAACTGTCGACAGACAAGCCTAAGCCCACCAAGTCCAAGGGTAAAGCACAACGTGCCTTAGGTAATTCGTACGTATGGAAAGCTGATACGAAGAAGGATGCGCAGACAGAAAAAGCTCCACGGAAACCAACTGCCGCAAAGAAAACTACTACCGCTAAGAAAGCTGCGACGAGTCCAGCGAAGAAACCAGCTCAGAAGGCTGTCGCGAAGACTGCCGGAAAGAAGGGCAAAGCTACCACGGAGTGGTTACCAATCGAAGGCAAAGAAGGCAAGTCACCATCGAAAGCAAAGAAGACTGTGAAAGCACCTGCAGCAAAGACCAAGACACCTAAACCGAAGAAAGCCACAGGGAAAGCTGTGAAGGCCGCAGCAAAGAAATAATTGTTCTGTGATGGATACACTCGCTGCAGACATAAATGGCCCTTTTCAGGGCCCAAATTATTTCTAACGAGGAATAACTCGAATGCTCGCAATTTATATTTTTGTTTTATTTCTTATCCTATAATAAAATTATTTCAGTATTTTAAATATTTTAATTAACGTAACGAACGTATAATAGTAAAATTATTTATGAAAACTAAATCATACAGATACGTCATAATTAACACATTTCATGTTGAAGAACTTTGTACATTTATTATTTTATATATTTCATGTTAGGAAGAATTTTGCATATTTTTCAGAAGCATTCTTTCTCTTTTTAATTGTAACTTTAATATATTTAGCTTGATTTTTTCTTGTTCCATTCTGATTTTGCTCTCTTCTTCTTCTCTATTGAGCTGAGCGCGAAGAAGTTTTAATTTTAATATGTTTTCTCGCCTTTTGAATTCAATATCATTATTAACGTTATTAGAGATTCCATTGTTAGCTTTTTGATCATTGCTAGAAGAGATTTTCTGTTTTTCATGTACGAATTCGGCAACATCGAAAGATGATTTTCTGGATATATTTGTAACATTTGTTGAATTTGCCGGGACACTTGTACTTTGCACACGAATGTTGTCAATTCTGAAAAGAGATGTAATTTTATTTTATCGATTTATTTCTATTTACTAATTTTCATATATTGAAATTACTATATACATATATAAACATCATCTAAAATGAAATAATGAACATGAGATAAAATTGAGATTCTTACAATAAAAAAATTTAATTTTTATTATTATAATCTGTTAAAGAAATTTACAGAATCACACATTACGTTCCAAATTTATATTTAATACCTCGTTTCCTCGCATGTCTTTGGTAAATCTTCATCAGTCTGTTCCATTTTTATCTAATAAAAGAGAATTAAAATATGAATAAAAGAATGAAAAATTCAAATATTTTTTCGCAATATGCAATGATTACCTTCAAATTATCTAATATTTCATTTGTATATTCCATAGGTTTCTCAGTGAATTGAAGTGGGTGAGAAACATAAGAGCCACTAAAATTAAATAATTTATATAATTAACTGTATATTTATATTCATGTAATTTTATCTTTTATTGTTTTGCTGTTTGTAAGGAATTATTCTTTAAATTATATACATAAATTAATTTTGAATTCTCTGTCAAATAAAATTCTAAAAATTTTATAATTTATTGATATAAAATAAAAGCTTAATAGATTTTTATATTGATATTATAATAGAGATTTATTGAAATAAATTCTATTTTATTCTATTGAATATAGTGTAATATTATGAGCAAGATATAGAAAATTTAGACATAGAAAAATAATGTGACGTATGTACCTGTTTGTGTCAAAAGAATGTGATACATTAGATAATTCATCATACTCGTTCGTAACATGCTAAACATAAAAAATATATGAATATCTACATTTGTAAGTATGTAAATAGTAATTATTTATTATATATTTTTTGTTTATACATTTATATGTCATTAGATTTATATATATTTA